CTGCACAAAATTTTGTCTAAAAAAAAAAGAATAATAATAATAATAATAATAATAATAATAAGAAACAATAGAATCACTATAAGGTCTTCCGTGAAGACGGAAGACCTTAACTAGAAAAGAAACTCGTTGCGAGCAACGAGAGGTCTTCCGTCTGATTCTGAAAAAAAAAATTCCGCAAAATCGAGCTGAAAAAAGTGATCAAACTTCTTATGGAAACAAATGGAATTAAACCCGAATTGCCAGCGTGAAAATGCAGTGCGCTTACTATTACGCTATTGGGACCACAGCTCTAAATGTATTTGTATATGTATACTTCTGCAACAGTACATCTGTCTTAGAATAATGAAAGGCGAATCACTATTCTTAATTTTGCGTCAAACGCCACGAGTAAATCTTTGCACCTTTTCTTTGGAATGTTACATTTAATAGGTGTGATAGCTTCAATGGAAAGAAAAAAAGAACGTTCTTATAGCTAAAATATCAAAGTGAAGACAGTATAATTAACACATTTTACAAATTTCATACGGTATATAAGCAAGTAACACTAAAGCAGTGAAACATAACTGTTTCACTGCTTTAGTGTTACTTGCTTATATGCATTTTCAACTTTTTAAAAATTTCCTGTTTTTCCCCTAAGTGAACTATCCCGATTAGCTAAGCTTTCATGAAAAGGTTGAAATGTTTTGCCGAAAAACATGTGTCGCCCGAAGACAGTCAATGAATCGGATACCATTTATGCTCAATAACTCAGATCTTTGAGACAAGAATGTTAATATAAACTTCATTTAGCGATCTTTTAAAAAACTGCTCTCTTATTTTGTCTTTTCTATTATTTTCATCAGACACAAGTGTGCATGGGAAAATTGATTGTAATTTATATACATACTATATTCATTGATATTGTTTCTAGAGAAACTATTACTTATAACTATGATTTAAGATCTCTTTTCACGTTTGCAAATCAGAGTTTACCGGTAGTAGGTATCGAATTTCATTTTCACATTTAGTCTTTTCTTTTTCTACTTTGAGAACCAGCCAAAACCAATTATAGAAGACATATAAGAAGAACATAGTTCGACACAGAATTTCAACGTAACTACGACGTGACAATCCAAGTATTCCTTTACGTTTTATTTTTCCTTGTCTTACTTTCGTTCAAGCAAACGCTCGGCTGACTCCGTAAACCCCTATTGCGAAATGTCGGAGTTGACAGAGACAGCCGCCATCTTGGATCCGCTTCAGATTTTTGAATGCTAATATCTAGAATTTTGATTTATCAATATTCAAACAAATTATATAGTGAGCATTATAAGAAAAATTTCTATTAACATGCCAAAAATGAATAAAAAATATGGAAAAACAAAAAAGTTAGAAAATACGATTTTTTAAATATGCATATCGTAACGAGCGGAAGTATTGACGACGCACGAAAAGGTGATTCTGCAAACCAGAAAGTCACGAACTATCGTCTCCAATAAGTCTCCAGTTAATATCTTTGGTTATTTTCGATAAAAAGGGGCGACAAAATTGCATTTTAAAATCAGGAAAATGTCCATAACTTGGCACCGGAAGCGAATTTTCCAAAAAACGGAATTTTATATAAAATTCATATAATGACGCATAATTCCTGAAAATTTCATTGAAAACGGCTGAATAGTTCTCGAGAAATCGCCTGCACAAAATTTTGGTCAAAAAAAGAATAATAATAAGAAACAGTAGAATCACTATAAGGTCTTCCGTGAAGACGGAAGACCTTAACTAGAAACTCTTGTTGCTACAGCAACAAATAAGGTCTTCCGTTCTCCTCTTTTATCTGTAAGAAGAATATTTTTGTATTTAAGAAAAAAAAAAAAAAAAATGCAAAAAAAAAAAAAAATATCAATTCCTCCATCTGGTCTCGATCCCAAAACCATTTGTGTGAAAGTCGGACACGTTAACCACTGAGCCACCAACTTCCACAATATTTCAGGTATTTTGTAAGCTTAGTATTTTAAGGTTGAAGGAAATAGTTTCGAAATGAAAGAAATAGTTTCGTAGTAAAGTCCCGGTCAAATTTCTTAAAAAACTGAGATATTGGCTGTTTGGTGTGATATTGTATGTAGGAAAATGAATAGAATAATTATGGGACACATTTGCAGTGAAGCAATGACACTTAGCATATACAGAGTTGTAAAGCGAAACTAATACACGTGGTCAGTTGCAGAGTTAATTCAAAATCCCGGAAAAAGAGTGAGTGAGTCATGGGCATTTTTTCAACACCATATCGTATCAAGCGGGGTAACTGCAATTGACCTATCTCAATTGCGTGGAAATTTAATTGATATGAAAAATCGTCATTTCCGAGTTTCAGCCGATTCATATTTAGATCTAAATAAAATTAAAATAAATTCCATACACCTAAGAAAGCAAGAATACTTGGTATTAAAATGTCGTAATGGAGCAGGAGAATCGAATGATATTAACAATAATTGCAGAAATATCCAATAGGAGTTTTAATTAATTTTTATGCTAAGCAATAACTTAATTTCAGACAGAAAAAAATGCAGATTTTGCCGATATTCACTAGAATTTCAAAATACTTCAGAGACTCACCTTAAAACTCTAAGGACACTTTCTTTCAGGTCTCTTCTTTCTTTTATTACAAATCTTATGCCGATATTTCGTTTCGTTTGACTTGTAGACATTTTCTCTAAGTTGGTATTGATTGTTTTGTTTTCTTTTTAGAAAAAGGAGGGGATATTTTATAAGCATTTGTTAGAGTAAGAGTTGCAAATACCTCCACGACCGTAAGCTTGATTGTGACCTTTGGGTCAATGAGGCCAAAGAACAAGGTCATTTATCAAGGTCAAAGGTCAAGGTCATCAGAGAGAGAGAGAAAGAGAGAGAGAGAGAGAGAGAGAAAGGTAAACTTGAGATAAACACTTGAAGCTGAATCTAGAAAAAGGTAATGAATATTTCTTTATTACTTTTTGAGTAAGGGTCAAAGGTCTCATTTTGAGGTTTCTCTAGACATTTTCAGTCTGAATAACATGTCCCAAAATCATTTCAAATACTCTTTTTATAAAAGATATTTATGGGATAGTAAGACACTCAATTTATGCAGTTTTTCTCTCATAACCGGAAGTCGTCGTTTTTGTTTCCAATGGAACTGACATATTTCGAAACTACTAGTAAGAAGCTATAAGGTAATACTAAGAAAGATTCCATAAAAAGTTTAATTTTTTTATTTATTTGATCACTTCCTGTGACAACCGGAAGAAACGGTGGATGATCTTAAACTCATAGGATTTGTCTACTCATCAAGGTCTACCACCCCTAGTAGTTTGGTGTCTTAATCTCTTACAGCTAACGAGATCTAGCAATGATAACTTCTGATTTTGAGAACAGGAAGTCACGCGACCGGAAGTGAATTTTACTGTGATATTAGACATTACTGTAGACATTTGCAGTCTGAATAACATATCCAAAAATCATTACAAATACTTTAACTATAAAAAGTATTTATGGGAAAGAAAATACTCAAATTACCGGGTATGTAGTTTTTCTCTTTTAACCGGAAGTTGTCGATTTTGTTTCCGGTGATACTATCATATTTCAAAACTACAAATAAGATGCTATAATGTGATGCAACAAGTTTCTATAAAGAAAAGTTGAATTTTTCGATTTCTTTGATCACTTCCTGTGACAACCGGAAGTGACGGCAGACAATGTTATCCCAACTGGTTTTGCCTACACATCAAGATCTACCACTTGAAACAGTTTGGTGTCTTAATCTCTTATCGTTTACGAGATCTAGCTTTGATAACTTCTCAATTTGAGGACAGAAAATCACGCGACCGGAAGTGAATTTAACAAAGATATTTGACCTTCCTGTAGACATTTGCAGCGTGAATTACATATCCAAAAATTGTTACAATTATGTCATGTACAAGAAATATTTAGGGGAAAGAAAAATACTAAAATTATGCAGTTTTTCTCTTAAAACCGGAAGTTGACTTTTTTGTTTCCGGTTGGACTGATATATTTTAAAAATTCAAATAAGATTTTATAACGTCATGCCAAAAAAGTTTCATAAAAGAAAATTTGAAAATTTTGATTTTTTAGAACACTTCCTGTGACGACCGGAAGTGACGGCGGACAATCTTATCCAAACTGAAGTTGCCTACTCATGAAGATCTACCAATTGTATAAGTTTGGTGTCTTAATCTTTTTCCGTTTACGAGATCCAGCTATGATAAGTTCTCATTTTGAGGACTGGAAATCACGCGACCGGAAGTGAATTTTACAAAGATATTTGACGTTACTGTAGACATTTGCAGTTTGAATAATATATCCAAAAATCATCAAAAATACTTTATCTATAAAAAATATTAATGGGAAAGAAAAATACTCAAATTTTGTAGTTTTTCTCTTATAACCGGAAGTCGTCGTTTTTGTTTCCGGTGGGACTGACATATTTCGAAACTACAAATGAAATACTATTTTGTGCTGCAAAAAAAGTTTCAAAAAAGAAAAGTTGAAATTTTCGATTTCTTTGATCACTTCCTGTGACGACCGGAAGTGACGGCGAACTGTGTTAACCCAAATGGTTTTGCCTACTTATCAAGATCTATTACTCATATAAGTTTGGTGTCTTAATCTCTTACCGTTTCTGAGATATGACTGGGACAAAAAAAATTTGAAAAAAGCGGAAATCGGACATATCTGACGACCGGAAGTGAATTTTGAAAAACTGAAAACTGCATTTGAAAGATATTTCTTATCTCTATCATCCCTAAAAATTTCATGAGATTCCGTCCAGCCATCTCTGAGAAATCGTCAAAAAAAAGAAATGGGCAAAGGGGAAAAAAAAATAAAAAGAAACAGGAGAATCACTATAAGGTCTTCCGTCTGAAACGGAAGACCTTAATAAAAAACAGAGTAAAAACAATATGTTCCCCAACTTCGTTTGGGGAACATAATTAATGACCAAAGTCGTACAAATAAAGGGAATGGCCGTCATGGCTTCAGAATTCAGTCCAATAAAATGCACATCTATGTACAAAACGAAATATTTGTCAGATGTATTTAGCAAGTAAGTTGGTCCATTACACACAAATACTAATCATGTAGCCATGTTGACCAATCAGATACGTGTGACTGTAATTTATCCAGTATACTCTGTATTGTCGGTGGTCTCTAGCTTGCGTTAAATTGTGACGTCACTACCCACCAAGTCGTAAATGTCGTCTGTCATGTCCGCATGAGTCCTTCGGTCATATATTGGCAGACGATGGACGACTTTCCGTAGATTTGGGATTTAATGTTTACAGGATAAATGTGTATTTTTCACTGAAGGATAAACTATGATCCAAGCATGGTAAATCATTGAATTTGTTTTACATTTCAAATATACATATTTTTAAATTCTGTTAAAAATATTTTCATGCAATGATGTTTTTTTTAAATATAAAAGATAAAATTAATAAAGTAACTTTAATCAATAAGAACAAATTTCTTTATCCGTTTAATTCTAAATCAGTAACTTAACATAAATTAGATTCTTACATTAGAAATCTAAAAAAAGAAAAAAAAAAGAAAAAAAAAAAAAGAAAAAAATGGATATAAAATGTTTTGAAACATCCTAAGGTCATTTAAAACTTTTTTTTTTTTACAAAAAGGGGGGAGATCATGATTTTCTTCTCTTCTTTATGATTGAATTAAGTTCTTTGGATTACTTTTATTTTACAGGAAATGTCCAGAATTCTTTATATATTATGTCCTTCAAATTTCAGTTTCAGCAGAAAGATAGCGCTCCGTACAGTTATGACGTCCCTGGCATTTCTTAAGATGACAATAAATGGTAATAATATATTAATATCAAATATGGTGAAATAAGTTCTTATTTGATATGCAGAACAGATTTATTTAAAACTGCTTAAGAACATGCGAAACGTATTATTTGAATTTATTTTTTTTTTAATTTTCTGAACAATTTTGGAGTTCAATAATCGGATTTGTCTGGTTCAGTAATACTGCACACATCCTCTGAATCAAATATTCAGTAAATACAAATACCAGCATAAGCATATTTCTCATATTTTCATAAAAAAACCCCACAAGGACCTCTGTCATTTGGGGTCTGTTTAAAACTCCTGTTTTTGATTTTTGTCTTTTTTGTTGTCTAAGAACATTCTAATAGTACTTTAAATATAATGAAATGTTATCAGTGGGCTACATGTACATCATACTTGGTAGCAACATGTATCCAAATTTTAGTCATCCAGTTTATTGAATATATGTATGCATGTAGAATGTTTTATCCCCTAAGATTTGTTTATAAAATGCATATATCGCACCAGTCTAAATCTGGGTTGAGTTTTCTGTTTACATTATTCTATTGTCTAAAATTCTAAACATTTATAACAAATATTGACGTAATGCTCAGGGAAAATGTTGATAAGTTCCATATCTTCAATTCGCAAAAATGTTTTTGGATAATAAAATCCCTACATCATGATGAAAAATGAACGCGTTAGAAAATGGACACTTACAATGTACAGTATAATGGATTTTTTTTAATGTCATGAAATTTTTATAGAAGTTGAATTGAATGAATGAAGGATATATACAACGGGAAATTTTACTCTTCAAGAAACTTTGTTTTGAATTTGTCATTTATAATATTCTCCATTTTTCCGTATTTTAGGTGTGTCGGGACAATTTGCACCTTTTCCCGGAGGATTTCAAGACCCCTGGGGGCCTCAATCATTTCGTCGACAGTTTCCCTCTCAGGTCCCTAACAGAATGCAGCCCCTCACAGCTCGGCGGTTCTCCAGTAGGAACCCGCCCTCCAGGCAGCCTGACAGCTGGGGACAGCCATGGCGTCGACCGGCCCCGCCATTTTTAGACCAAAACACACAACCTTTCTTTGACAGAAACGCCCCGCAGATGGCGCGTCGAAACAGCGTCAGCGTTATGAACCCCGCGCCAAATCAAGCTTCAGGAATTGAAACAATAACATCGCTTCTATTGAATAGCACCTCCCAGACCGGAGGTGGACTTTCACCAGTAGATATTCTGAGTCAAGTTCAGAATTTGAATTCCCCCGGGCGTTCTTCGAATAGCCTTTCAAACATATTGAATTTTGGTAAAAGTTTACTTGAGGGAGCATTCAATACTAGAAAATCTGACAAGAAAGAGTCCCCAGTTGTGCCCCCTGACGTCACAACAAAGGAAATAAAAACCCCAACAGAAGCAATCAACGACAATGCTCAAATTCCAAAAGACATAAAAACTACAAATGTAAAAGAACAGAAGGATATTGGGATTGTTAAAGACAAAGTACCGACAAATGTTGTTGTACCGAAAGAAGTAAGTGGACCAATCAGCCCACACGAAGTAAAGCACGTAAATGAAGCCGTTATTCCGATAGATAATCGACCACCAACGGAATTTATAGACCCGGTAAATCCGGTCAACGTAAACATCGAGAATCGACCCACGAACCCTATCAACATCCGACCTATCGACGGGTCAGAATTAGTCGGAGTCGAAGTTCTTCCACCAGGCGAAATAAGTAAAGGACGCCGAATCAACGATAGAACAATCAACGGTAGACAGAACATTCACCCAGAGGACGGAATTCACAGAATCAACCCCATAACAGGACTTCCGGAATTCATCAATGCCGGACCTATTACAGGCGTCTCTCCCGGAGGCGGGCTGGACCACGGTCATCTTCACAGAGACGGAACCTTTCACCACTTTCCAGTGACCGTGCATGGTAACGACACAAACGATATTTTATCTGTCCTTGACCCCGTGACAGGGGAGACGGCCATTTTCCCCGCCATCGACTTCAACCCTGACGGAAGCCAGAAAGATATGAACCCGGCTGAGAACCGCGCCGCTTGGTTGATGGAGCGGAAGCGAGTGAGAAGGTTGAGGAAACAGAATCGGAGACTCCGGGAACTGTTAAGGCAACACATGAATGAGGTTCATCCAAGTGAACTTACGCCCATAGACGAAAACGGACTAAAACCTGGTGACGTCATACCTGTTTTACCGGTTGCACCGCCTGGTGACGTCATACCCGTCTTGCCGGTTGTACCTGATTATATACCATCTGCCACACCCTCTCCAAACTTAGTATTCCCGAACGGTCCCGGGATTAATTCTGGAAAATCTGTACCTGAACCCGAACCTGAACCTATATTACCTGGTAACCCCCTGGGTCCTCGAGGACCACAACCTGGTGACGCCATTCCTGTCAGTGACGTCATACCGGAACCCGGGGATCCGGGATATATTCCGTCTGCAACTCCCTCCCCAGTCATAAAGGTACCGGGTAAGAAAAAAATACCGATCGTTACGGGCGGAAGGAAGCCTTTACAACCAGGCGACTTCTTTCCCGTGGATGACATCATACCAACAGTTCCAGGATACATTCCGTCTGCCACGCCATCCCCCGTGCTTGTTGTTCCTAAAGAAAAACCCTACCCCAAAATCATCAATCCGCCTGTAGATCCCAAGGACGTAGTTCCGGTACAACCAGTAGTTCCGGTTCAACCAGTAGTTCCAGTTCAACCAGTAGTTCCGGTACAACCTAAAGTTCCGGTACAACCTAAAGTTCCGGACACGTTTATTTTGCCCGCTACTCCCGCGCCGGTTATCAAGGTCCCACCGACCACAAAACGCCCCCAGCCACCCCCTCCCCCACCCCCGCCACGCCGACCCCCACCACCCCCACCGAAAAAGAACAATAACTTATTAAAGAACCTGGGTATTGGGTTTGCTTTAGGCAGTCTATTCTTTGGGAGGTAAAATTTGGTTTGCTTGTTTAAGTTTACAGTTCGTAATTTGACTAATTTAGAGAACGCCCGAAGAAATAATCTGAATTAATATTGAAAGAATATTTTTTCTCCCAAAAATGATAATGTTAAAAATATATTATTGTAGGTTTATTTCCGTATGCTTACGCATTTTTGATTGTATTTTTATTTCTAAATGCTAAACTCTGTTGTCAATTTTTAGCTCTACTGGTCAGAGACCAGAAGAGCTTATGCGATAGTAATGCGTCCGGCGTCCGTCCGTCTGTCTGTCTGTCTGTCCGTCTGTCTGTAAACAATTTTTCAAAATGCTACTCCTCCTACAGTTTTGGTCTAATTTCAATATAACTTGGCACACAAGTAGACTACACTAAGATACATAATTCTGTGTATCGGTTTTTGATTTCGATGAACGGTGTTGCCGTGGTTACTAAAAATAGAAATTTCTGTGAAATTCTTTCAAAATGCTACTCCTCCTACAGTTTTGGTCTGATTTCAGTATAACTTGGCACACAAGTAGACTACACTAAGATACATAATTCTGTGTATCGGTGTTTG